ATTTTCTGATGTTCTTTCAAATTTTGTCGACGTGAAAACCTATTTCCACACAAATGACATGAATGTGGCTTCTCCTTTGTATGAACTGTCAGGTGCTGTTTCAGGTGTGAAGCTCTCAAAAAAATTTTGTCACATTGATCACATGTGTACGGTTTCTCTCCAGTGTGGATGTCCATGTGATCCTTAAGGGCTGATGAGCATGAGTAACTCTTTCCGCACTGATCACAAGTGAATGGTTTCTCTCCTGTATGAACTCTCATGTGTGCCGTAAGGCTTGCTTTTAGTGTGAATCTCTTCCCGCACTGATCACATGTGTGTGGTTTCTCTCCAGTGTGGATCATCTCGTGTTTTTTCAGATTTCCTGAATGATTGAATCTCTTGTCACAGTGTGAACACTGATAAGGTTTCTCTCCAGTGTGAATCCTCTCATGCTGTTTTAAACAGCTCGCTGAAATAAAAGTCTTCTCACACTCAAAGCACATGTACTCTCTCACACCAGTATGTACTTTCTGATGCACTTTTAAATGTTCTGGACGCGAAAAACTCTTTCCACACAAATGACATGAATGTGGCTTCTCCTTTGTATGAACTACCAGGTGTTTCTTCAGGTCTGAAGCACACAAAAATGTTTTGTCACATTGATCACATGTGTACGGTTTCTCTCTAGTGTGGATGCCCATGTGATCCTTAAGGGCTGATGAGCATGAGTAACTCTTTCCGCACTGATCACAAGTGAATGGTTTCTCTCCAGTATGAACTCTCATATGGTCTGTAAGGCTTGCTTTTAGTGTGAATCTCTTCCCGCACTGATCACATGTGTACGGGTTCTCTCCAGTGTGGATGCTCTCGTGTCTTTTCAGATTTGCTGACTGAATGAATCTCTTGTCACAGTGTGTACACTTGTAAGGTTTCTCTCCCGTGTGGATCCTCTCGTGCCGTTTTAAATACTTTGCTGAAGTAAAAGTCTTTTCACACTCAAAGCACATGTACTCTCTCACACCAGTATGAATTTTCTGATGTTCTTTCAAACTTTGTCGACGTGAAAACCTATTTCCACACAAATGACATGAATGTGGTTTCTCCTTTATATGAACTACCAGGTGCTGTTTCAGGTATGAAGCTCTAAAAAATGTTTTGCTGCATTGATCACATGTGTACAGTTTCTCTCTAGTGTGGATGTCCATGTGTTTCTTAAGGTTTGCTGATTGTGAGAAACTCTTCCCGCATTGATCACATGTGAACGGTTTCTCTCCAGTGTGAACTCTCATGTGAAGCTCAAGAATATGTTTGTATGTGAAACTCTTTCCACACTGAGTGCAGGTGAAAGATTTCTTGGCCCTTTTTTTCTTTAAATCTTTCTGTTTGGGTTTTTCTACACTTATGACATGATTTTTCTCCTCAGATTCACTCAATTCTTCTTTCTCCTCGTCGTCTTCAATCAACTCTGCAACAAAAGTAAAAACAGTACATTTGTCAGTAACTCGTTAAAAAACATACTAAATTGAAAGGACATAAAGATGAACCCTGATATAACAGCAGAAAGCAGACAATTCTATTACAAAATGTTGATCATTTTGATGCAATTTTATAAATTATACGTCCCTGAATCTTTCCGTGAATGAGATACACTGATCTTTAAATGATTACTTTTAAAAGATTATAGGCACAAACCTCATGTTTCTATAGGGAGAACTATTAAATATGTTTGATCAACAACATGAAGGATCTGAGGATCGTCAAATACAAACTGTGTGTTGCATTAAGAGAGCGACCATACATTTGTGTTATGTTTTTATTTTCTTGTTTTTACTCATTTATAATCATTTATAAAGTTCCCAGAGAGAACGCCTCTCTTCTCTCTGGGAACACATTACTTCTCTCTGGGACTTTTCCAAACTCCCTGAAAACTGCAGTTGTTAAGCCCCTCCTGAAAAAGAGCAATCTTGATAACACCATATTGAGTAACTACAGACGAGTTGTGTTAGGCTATTTTGATTACCCCATTACAGTCACTTTACAGTCAATGCTATTATAAAAATAGACTTACTTGTAGGTTTAAAATTCTACATGTCACATTGTCCAACTACAAATATTTCTAACATTTACAGATGGAGAATATACCTGTGAAATGTAAGTTATGCATTCAGGAAGGCAGCACATCTCAAACACATTAAACAGCGCCAGTGTCTCTGTCAGCGGCACACACAGCCTTTCTGTCAGAGCATATGACGGCCGAGCCGCTTAAACTAATATGCAAAAACAAAACTAAAAACTATGTCTTACCAGCTTTTAAAGGCCTTAATATGAATATTGTCACATGTTTAGAACAAATTGGATTATGCACTTTCTCCACAGCAGCTCAGTTGGTGTCCTCCGCTATAGCTATTTTCAGTTGTGCTCGTATCAAACTAATGTATATCGATATAAACGGTATTGCCTCATATCGAATCGCTTATAAAGAAAATATCGATATATCGTAAAAAACTCGATATACCGCCCAGCCCTAGTTCACAACAGTATATTTTGGTCATCCCATTAAAAATAACATTCAGATTGGATCATTTTGGAGCTTTAAAGTGCTGGAAACAGTTGTGTGAAATGTTTGAAAGTCATTGAAAATTGCTTAAAATTGAATTTCTCTCTCAAACGGTTGTACAAACCCTGAAATTAACGATGTAATAACATTCACTATTTCTGCCACAACACCATGGTATAGTTAGCATTACTACTAGGGCTGCCCGTTAATAGTCGACTAACCTAGAAGTCGACCAGAAGAGGCTTGGTCGAACACAATTTTATTTATTAAATCAACAGGTGAAGTCACGCAGTCCGTGACGAACAGATCGTTAGCGGCTGGTCTATGTGGTAATACAGTACATCATGCAGGACATCCAAACACTCGCCTATCATTCATCGACCTCAAATATGACTTATGCTGAAGTATGCAAGTATTAGCAACTTTACATATCTGCTCAATCTAATGTTAGTGTGGAAGCTGAACAGTAGCCTAGCGCTCACTGCAGGACAGATGGAGGTGCCGGTGCGCTCACTCTTAAAATACTGTAATTTTTGCTCATAACAGATTAATTGATTTCGAATATGTAAAGAATCTACATTTATTTGTGTACACTCACAATAACAACAAAACATTGCACTTTTGTAAAATAATGAAAGCAAACAGGATGCGCTTTCTGCCGTCTCGGTGTCTGTGAACTTGAGCGCGAAACTCCGTTTACTTTCCTTACAGAAAACATATCTATAAATAGCGAGATGTCTGCTTTTCAATTAACCAATTTAAATGGAAAACAAATATTCTCAGATTATGTAATCCATGTGAAACATGCATACAAGCACGTCCACTACTGCGGAGATGACGAGTCAGTGTCGCCGACTTCATCTCGCTGAAAACAAAGTACTAGTGTTTCAATACGCTATTAAAATGTTAATGCAGCCACCTGTTTTTCCCTGACACATTCATAATCAATACTTTTTGCAGTGTGCTGTGGCTAGCTTTATGCGTGCGCTTGAGTGCTTATAGGCTATGTCAGATATTGGAGGCTTATTATAATCAGAATCAGAATCAGAATGAGCTTTATTGCCAGGTATGTTTACACATACGAGGAATTTGTTTTGTGACAGAAGCTTCCACAGTGTAACAGAATGACAGTGACAGAACAAAAAAACACAGATAATAAAAAATAAAGTAAATAAGGAATAAAAATATACAAAT